ACCACACTTCAGGTACAACTTCGAACGTGTAACCTCTTTCAATTGTTGGAATAGCGTGCGGGATATCTTACATTTATAAATCGAAAAAAAGAACGGCCTAAAGAAATAGTACATTATAGAATCATTGTTAAAGGAAAACTTCAAACTTTAAATCCGTAGTGGACCTTGTTGTGGAGAAAATTTTGCAATGTATGTAGCAAAGTAAAGTATAAAATAATATTTGTTCTGTGAATATTTTAATTATACTTATGTACATATGTTCAGATTCTGATATGATATGAAATTTCGATTTACCCGGCAGCTGTATGTAAAAGAAATTCGAGAAAAGTCGTTGACAGCACATTTACTCGTGTTTAAAAGAAACACGTTAAACGAATCCATAAAATTAATTAAAGATATAAGCAGACATTTAGAATTTGTATCTGGAGATTGTGGTGAAAGAAAAAGAAAGAAATGTAAGAAATACGTGCTTCAAAAATTTCAGATTTGTATGAAATACTTGAAATTATGCTTTTATCAATGTTTTTATAGGTGCAGTCAGTGATGGACCGAATGAAATTGAGCCACGATATCTTAAACTTATAGATATGCGAATCACGCTCTGTAGTGCTGAACGAACATTTTCAGTATGTAGACTAATTTCTTCAGATAAGAAACAGTAATTTACTGCTGAAGGTATAGCAAAAATTGTAATTACATATTGTAATGAAAATTATAATAAATAAAAAGTAATAATAATAAATAATGATAAAAATAATAATAATGATATATTTTGAATATATTTTGCATATTTTAATATGTAATAATTGCATAAATGTTTGCAGATTTGGAAATAATGGCCAGGAACTCAACGCATTTCACTGTCGCAGCGTTCGAAGATTCGTTCCACGTAATTAAGGTAGGATTAACGATTTTCAACAATTTTTCTTATTAAAATTATGGATGATGAATTTAGAAAAACTTGTACGTAAAAACATTTTGACAAATATTATTAAACAAATGTTATTTTATATAAAAAATTTAATTTAAAATTCCCACGTCTGTAGGTTAGGTAGTAATCAATTTCGTTCGAGTTTTATTCTATTTATTTTTATTTATTTTTATTCTACAAGGATTTATTAAAAGTATTTAAATATCATTAATAATATCAGTTAATAATTGATATAATATATAATATATGTTGATACAATGTATAATATATAAATATGTATATGTATATATGTACATATATTGATATAATATATATATGTGTACATATATTGATATAATGTATAGTATGTATATATATTGATATAATGTATAGTATGTATATATATTGATATAATATATAGTATGTATATATTGTTAACATATATATATGTATATCTTATCTAAGATATTCCATATCCTCAAACATTTCTCCCTCTATATCATCTGCCGTTGTATTTTGCCGGCAGTGATATACATATGCACTCATCGACACGTTTTCTCCTGTACGCACACATTTATATGTGTCGTCGGGGCATCTGCATCTAAAAGAAAAAAGGAAAGAGTAAAAAATCTTTTTATAGTGAAATAATGTATTCATAAGAAGTAACAGACACTGCATCTGGTGTAATAATAGTATACATTACTAGATATCTAGTATACTATAGTAGATAATAGAATAGTAATTATTTGAATATTTGCTTAATATTTAATATTTCATAAATATTTGACAAATATATTACAGCAATAAACAAACAGTTAAATGAACATCTAAAGAAACAAACAGTTAAACGAACAACTAAAGAAACAAATACATTAATGAAAATTATACTATGATATAAATAGTGGAATTATTGTATGATTACATATCATCATGTTAATCATCTAAGTAGAAATACCGTAGGTACAAGTTTCATAAAAAGTATTTAGTCGATAGCTACGCACAATCGTAATTTCAACTTACGTATTGGGCATGAATACAGTAGCCTGCCGCGTTACGGAATCATACGTGTTCCAGCCGCAGGGTGTATCATAACAGTTCCTTTTTGGTCGGTCCTCTATACTTTCCGTTGCTCTATGTACACGCCGGCTATCGAGGTGCATCTCCCTAATAATTTTCTCGAGTTGCTGAGCGAATTCCTGCAAAATAATTGCACGACAAATGTTAAAACTTAGAAAAATCTAACAAAATGTGGTGGATATACAGGATTCGAATGAATTGAGATTTTTAGAAAACCATATGATATATTACATTGGAAGAATCAATTTTCGATTTACAAAATTTTGAGAATATTTTTTTCATCTCATGTACACTTTTTCTGCAAATTCATGTTTGAATCAAGACCTAGCTTATAGTTTCAATTAAAACATAGGACTAAGAGTAAAGACAATGACTTTCCTTCCTCAGCTATTTGTCAAACTCTTGACACGTTTAACAATTTGTTAAATTATTAAATTATTAAATGTAAATTCATCTTGGATCCTTGCAGAAAAGATCCAAACATCGCAAAGTTTTCATACGTATCACAGAAAATTTCGTATAAGGAATGATCAGTGATCCAAGTACTTAAAATCGTTTCTCTGCTTCAGTGATCATCAGTAACTATTCTTATAGACTTGACAATGAAACTAATCATATTGATACAAGTCTTACCTCGGATTTAATGGCAGCAGCAAAGGTATAATCGGCGAATAGAATTCCCAGTAAAGCGAGTACGATTGGAGTCTTCATCATGTTTACAAAAGGACAAGGGAACTTATTTTGTCGAAAAGTGTATGAAACCTCTGATTGTGTTTAGATTTGAAAGTAATTTGACGAAGGGACAAAAGGTTGAAACAAAGGTTGGTAAATGATACTCGGTGAGTCTAGGTAGGAAAGGATCTCGAATGGTTGCTCGAGAAGGGCTACGTGATCTTCGCCGAAACTTTTACTCGACTTGACTAAGCGTTGCCTGCTGAATGCACGCAAAGAAATGCAAACTCAAACAAATGCACAGTTTCTGTCTCGAGAATATCGAGTGATACAGTTTATTGTACTGTTCTATACACTGCGGTACTCCCGACTTAATACCTGAACTCGCGAGTCTTGAATGAAGACTTGCGTGATGCTCGTGGGTTTATATAGGCCGAGCTAGTAGCTAGCAACACGTGGGTGGGGATATCTGCGTTTCTTTTGTTGGCCGATTCGAATATCGTTCATGTGGTTAATTTTGAACTACCGCTTCGTAAAAAGTTCGAAAAAAGAAAATTTCTTGTTTAAACGACGTATTTTACAGAGATTAATAATTGTCGATGAGGCTCGACAATCATCATAAATGATTGAAAGCAGGGAACGAAATTAACAAGATATTTTCGTTTTTAACGAAATTCTGCCAATACTTGAGTTACACATACACTCAGAAACAGCATTCGAGGGTCACAAATATTTTAGAGAGATATTTTAGAAAGATATTTTATAATAAAAGTATTCCATGGAAACAAGTTATTTTAGAGCATTCAATTAAAACTCTATTTTTATATTCATTGAATACTATTCAATCAGTGTCAATATTTGTTACAGATATTGAGAAATTTCTTAAAATTGCGAACAAATTATCTGTTCCTGCAACAGCAAAATTGTCAGTTTTATATTTTATAAATTCTATTATGTTCGAAACTTTTATTTTTAAGAACATTTATTTATCTACTCCCGTCTAATGTAAGAAAATACTTCGAAAAAGTTCAGGTAAAGTTCCTTACCTTAACTTTCTCGATTCTTAATCTAACTCGAAAGTCTGTGAGTTTGTGGTTTTCGCAAAATGCAATTAAGAGCATAATGTTCTTCGCGGTTTTGAGGAATTTTCTCTTCATTTTCATTTTGGAGTATTTGACAAATTAATTGTATATATGTTTTCTTCCTCATTTTGAAAATCATCCGAAGAATGAGTTGTAAAGTTTGATCTTTAAAAGTTTCGTACGTCTGGAATTGAATTTGGTGAAAAACGTATCATAAAAATTTTGCGTCATTATCAAGCATGTAACTTATAAAGAGACAGATAGATGTGAAAAGAAAAGTGAGATACAAAATTATCGACTTATATTTATCATACATTGTGGCGATTTTGCTACACGGCCGTATGTCATGCTACAAAAATATTTTCTTCTTCTCGAATTCCCGTGTCGTGCCGCGTTTCTTAAAAACAAGCTATATTTTATAAAAGTATTCAAATTTCTGTTATTTCAAATTTTTCATTTATCTGACGAATCTTTTCGTACTTGCAAAAATTGATGTTTCTTCAGTTTTTGACATATTAATTGAGGAATTAAGAAATCTGAAAATGAGAATTTAAACTTTATCGTAGAAATTGAAATTTACATATTGAGATATTATTCTGATGTAGGTTTTCGTCGATCATTTGCTGTAAATCATTAGTTAAACACTTTTAGAGCAGAAAAATGATGATGTCGGTAGTGCATTTGTGTAAAGGAAAGGTCAAACGTATTGTGCAACGAATTTAGAGAAACCGGAAATCATGGCGATCTTATGGAAACTGTTATTCGCAATGTCGGACTGTTTCAGATTAACCCTCCCGCAGTGTTTAATCTTACTGATCCAGAGGGGTTTTTTTATCATTGACAATAAATATGATAGCGATAGAATAGTGATAGAATATGTCTTTCTCTGCATAATTCTGTTTATTTCACGTCGTTGGGGAAAAAATACAATAACTGCTTTACACACGATACGTTTCCGCAAACAATCTGATTCTGCAATTTTAATTTTTCGCGCTCTGGAGGCTTTTCTTTTTAAATACCAACAAATCGGAGCAAATTCTGCAATAAAATATGATTAGGGATAATCGTTTCACTATAAGACCACTATAACTAATAATCACCTATATTACGATTGGCGAAACGTTCAAATTACGACATGACTATACAACATTGCCATATTGTTGATATCCGACTGCAAAGTCCCTAAAACTTTGTTCTAAATTCTTAAATTCTAAACATTTTCAGTTTTTTAGTTTCCATTCCCTCTCTCTTTTTTTTATTTTTATTTTTTTCTTTAATTAAATCTCTCAAGTGCATGCATCATCATTTTTCTCCTCGATTTAAAATCACCGCTTTGAGTGATTTTGAGGTTTACGGTTTCGATCGCGGTGATTCGACTGATCTAAATCAATCTCGATGTTCGATAATAGCGTTCATTTATTTCGAATTCTGGAGCTTCGCCCATTCGGCATTTTAGTTGAAGTTGATAAACGCAGAGAGAGAGAGAGAGAGAGAGAGTGTCTGTTGTGCAGTGATCCAGAGTCTCGACGGGGGCTAATCTTGACCAATGGTACACGGCTATCATTGTGACGTCTGCATGTTCGGAGACGGTCTGTTTCGAGTTTCATTGATTTACCCCAGTATTATATCAGTATTATATATCAGCTATTTAACCTTTTGAACGGTATAATCCATAATTTTTGAAATAATAAATTTTATTTATCTCGTAATTGCGATTGTAATTAAATGGCAAAGTACGTTAGCTTATTGACTACAGGACTTAAAATATCGATAATAATTCTCTTGACTGGAGGGAGGTGACTGTTGCACGATTATGTAGAGGGAAACATGCTGAAAATATTCCACTCTGAAGAAACGCAGTACGATTTCGAAGTCAAAGAATGTTCTTTGTCGGTGATGGATCGTTTTGTTGATTCTCCTTATTTCAATTTTAAAAAAGACTGTGTAAACTGAGTATAATGCTATTAATCCTATTAATTAAGAAAAAAGAAGAGAAACGGACACATGATATTAAATAAGTTTTCCAAGATATTCGATAAGAAAGAATATAATTTGTCCGGTGTCACAGGTTTTAATGAACTTCATCAATTTCATCGTCTTCGAAAGCAACGTATACGTTCGATATAGCACTGATGTAAAAATATTCTGTTTCTAGCTAATTTTTCAATCTGGACAGCTCGGTTTCGCATTGATCATCTCGTAGCGGAGAATTGAATCTCGTATATTAGTTTCTTTGCGGATAGATTAGACACTGTATTTATAATGTAGTAAATTGTTTCCTGTATTCATAAAGTATTAAATTGTTAAAAATATTAAAGTGTTAAATTGTTGTACTGTATTTATAAAGTAGTTTGTTTCCTTAGACGTATTGTTAGATAAATTACTCACATTGAGTAATTTAATTTCTTTTGACAGACTTGAACATGTCCTGTTTAAACTCTTGTCTTGAATTGCGAAGTCAATCTCCTCTCAATTGTGAAGTCTTAATTATATAAATTAAATAACTACAGTGAAACTTACAGTAAACGCAGCAAGTAGGTATTTCTACGAGTATAGTTTACCTTGCTATTACCAGTTGTGTTTCATTCATTAAATTTTGATAAGAGTAACCTCAGTAAAAGAGCGACATTCGCAGACAGAAAATCCCGCTTTCAAGGAAAGCGCTCGAGGGAAAGCACGATGCTCGCTTTGACATACGACGCAATACATGTGCCTGCATCATCATGGCCTTTCGATGGTTTTTCAACTTACTCGCCTGTTGCATCACCGTTGTAACGTAAGAAATCGAGAAATATTTGGCGAGCGCGTATTTCTAACAGCGCGTGAAACTGCGATATCGAATTTCGTGATCGCAGTGATTATTACGTTGGAATGCAGTTCGAATGTAGCGAGGAGGACGCCGCCATTTTGAGGAATATTCCTCGTGGCCTAGGGACAGCTTCATCGTTCAAGTATCAAAATAATTCTGAATCGCTGCGTTGTCTCGTTTGAGACGACTCGCCGCCCCCTGATCAAATGAGACGAAAGCTTCCAGCAGTTCACTCTCATTATGTCACCTCCTCCTTTTTTTTTTGGTTTTATTTCTGACTATAAATATTAGTCGAATCGTAGAGAAGGGTTGAAAATTTCTTTCAACTGTCGATTCTGATAGCTTTCTTTCACTTTGACGATGTTTTCATCTTCCACGAAAAAGATTTTAACCCTGTTTCGTAACCATTTTCGAGACAAGAAAAATTCAACGGGCTGAAGACCGAATGGGAGGGGGTAAGGTCACCGATTCGCGTGCCAATGATTTTGATACTTGATTCGTAATCGATTTAGCCGGCCTTGGTAATACAATCGGCTGCCGGCCGATTTCTAGCTGACAATTCGGCCGAAATAGTTACGTGTGCGTCTTGAGGATGCCGCATGTTCCGATCATCTCAGCAAAACTTTCCACGGGACGGTGTAACAAGAGACACCAGAGGGAGAAGGGTTCCCAACGAATGCCAAAATGCTTCGCGGTTTAAATAACGCCGTCTCATCACGGCTCATGTGCGTAAGCTAATTAACGCCGTTCCGTCATCTTCTCTGCGTCCTCTGTGCGCCGCCGTCAAACCCGTCAAAATCATCGCCCCGAACGTTGACGTGCCCTGCAACCAATTAGTTAGGGCGATCTAATGAAGTAGTTGCTATTTATTTCGCGGTGATGGATGACAAATGTCCGCGAGGGTTGTTGGCACTTTTCTCGGAATTCCGTTTAAAGCGAGCGAGAGAACACGCGAGACTATTACCTACGCGGCGTGAGATACGCCGAGACAAATAAACGATTGAGACTCGTAGTTGCGTATTTTATTTTGAAGCAAATTTTTATGATTTTCAATAATCGCGACTCTGGGTCGCGACAAACGATAATTTCTCTACTTATTTTCAATATCTCCACTGAAAGTTCATCGTGTCTTTACTCAATTTCTTCTTTTTTTTTTTTTATTCTTTATCATATCGATAATATTGCGACTTGGTAGCTCGTACGTGTATAATAAATTACACGGTGTATGTGAACATTTCTATTTATACTCTATAATAATCAACTTTTTATAATATTATAAAAATATAGATTATAAAGTAATCAAATTTTTATAATCTGTTTCCCAACTCTATCATAATCAACTTTTATAATATTATAAAAATATAGATTATAAAGTAATCAACTTTTATAATATTAAAATATGGATATCAGAGATATTATTATAGATATTTACAAATAAAATATTGAAATATTAAAATATAGATTATAAAATAATCAACTTTTTATAATTTGTTTCCCAACTCTATAATAATCAAGTATTAAAATATTATAAAAATATAGATTATAAACTTCTATAATATCAACTTTTATAATATTAAAATATAGATATTAGAGATATTATTATAGATATTTATAGATAAAATATTAAAATATAGTTTATAAAATAATCAACATTTTATAATCTGTTTTCCAACATTATAATAATCAAGTTTTATATTAAAAATAATTTTAATATAGTTTTATTTAAAAAATAAAATAATTAACTTTAATAATATTAAAATATATATAAAATATAAATATAAAAATAATTATAAAATAATTAACTTTTATAATATTAAAATATAGATATTAGAGATGTTATTATAGATATTTACAGACAAAATATTAAAATACAGATCATAAAATAATCAACTTTTTATAATCTGTTTCCCAACTCTATAATAATCAACTTTTGTAATATTACAAAAATATAGATTATAAAAAGTAATCAACATTTTACAATCTGTTTCCCAATCTCGCGCATTCGAGACAGTATTTTAATCTTCGGTCGAGGCCCTGTTTATTATCATTGCCTTGCACACGTAGCTTGCCTCCGCAACCTTTACTTAATTAATTTTCCATTTTCTCAGATTTTGTTCGCCCCGGTCCGTCTCGTTAACGATCGTTCGCTACAATTTCCCCTGGGCGATTGTGCGACGTTTCGACGCAAGAAGGTTGCGTATTCCGAGCGGTCACGTAATCATCGGGCCGTGAGATTCCTTTCAGAATTTTTCACGGCTTCAATTAGACGTAATTGTTATCGAGTCGATACCTCTGATCGCTCTTTGCACTCGAACTCTCCGTTCAACAACTTCCCGATCGGAGCAAGTCGCGAGTTTGCTTTAATTTTTTCCACGACGTCTTCCATTGGAATCAATCTGCCGAGGATGAATCATGTTTTAATTGCGCGAAAGTGCAAGCGTCACTCTGACACTTGGCGAATCTCCGTGAGCTTGCACTTTTCCGCAATTGAGATTTCTAATCCATGTCAGAATCGTCACGATGATCAAAGTGGTCAGTTTACGATTTCGAATGGGTCGTAGAAATACGACGATCTTTGACCTCTTCTGACTTTACGTACACATTAAAATTGTAAGACGATCCACGCACCAGTGATTAAATCTTTCATATTAAATAGTACGATAGGATACACTACATTGTCCACGTTAAATAGGAAATTGTTATCATCTTGTCTTGGCTTTTCCCCGTACATTAATTAAAAGTGCATGAAGCATATATATTGCTTAGGATTATAAAACTCGTGACAGCGATCTCTTACCTGCTTGTCCCTGTTGGTCCCTAATGACGTCAGTATTATCTACGAACGAGAAAGAAATTCTTCGAAAAAAAAAAAAAAGAAAACCACCGTCTCGTCTGTCGATGATTAGGGAATAGCTTCCAAACGCTCCTACATACACACGTGCATACATACGTACAGTTACAAGAAAAGGAGTCGTATTAATACTCACGCTACCCGAAATTATGTTGTTATCGTGTAATCTCTTTGTAATCGCATTTAAATTCTCGTTTTTGAAAAACTTTAAACAGAATGCAATAAATCTTGCATTTGTTTGACGAGGTATATCTTTTTGCAAACGACGTTCAAGAGATATTACAAGAATCCGATCCTTACCTGAAATACAGGGATTGTGAGGTGCAGTTATTTCGGCAAGTGACCGCAAACATTTCTTTCGTTCTCTAAGTAAACATCTACCCATCTTTCTTTTTTCTGTCGTGAACGAGAAAAATACCGGTTTTCGAGGAAATCTTCAAGTTTCAATGACGCAAACGGCTTCTACGAAGGAAGCACGGTCCGAGGGTAAAAAGTTGAACAGCCACGCATTAGCCGGAGTCTGTTAGATAACAACGTGATTAATTTCGACAGACGGGCAAGTTAAGCGTTGAAAGGTTGTGCGTGTGCCATATTCTCGAGAAAATCGCGTCACTTGGCTGGATAAATCGCCGATAAAACGAGGGCACCGGGGGTTAAACGCAACGCAACAGCTAAAAGATCAAACGCCGTCGTTCTCAAAACGAATTCATGTCTGCGGAGGAAGGTGACACACCTCCCCCTTCCCCCCACCTCTCGCTCTGGAGACCGAGCGTGAGAAGAATGGCTGACGCAAGTCGGGTCATCGAGCCGTATCGGACATTCAAAAATCTTTTCAGAGGAGATAATGCGGCAACTCCGCCTCCTTTCCTCGGCAAATAATGCAGCAATGTCAAACATTGAAATTTTGACGGACATTCGGCCACAGACGACTGTCTGGCTTTAAAAATTTTCGCCAATTTCCATTTCGCGTGTCGCAAGCAAACGAAATTATCATTTGAAAAATGTAACGATGTCACTTTCTTCACGTCAGAATGAAACAATGCAGCTTTTTAAGCTTGTCACTGCGATGCGATCGAACGCAATTTTAACGACTTTTAAAGTTTTATTTTTACAGTTACTACATATATATATATATATATAAATATTTGTCGTAATCTATTCCATCATAACATCGAAGTACGCACCAAGTCCCGTAATTAACATTTCACCCCTCTGCGAGAAAGTTCAATAGCGAGTGACTCGCTGCAAGATGACGGATGCCGAATACGTGCCGGAGTGCGAA